GTAAATAAAGCTGCTTGTTAGAAAGGTTCATAATATGCTTCAGTGCTTCATGCATGAATTTCAGAAAAATAGCAAGAAAGTGTTTTTCTAAGTTTTTCTAACGTATCTCTAAGAGAGAAGAAAAATTTAATCAAAAGCTGCTGTTTTTATTAATAAAAATATTATGGAATAATTTATCAAATAGAAACATTGAATAAAATATTATATATATTTAATTCTATTAAACATTTATCAAATATGTATAAAATATCCAGTAATAAATATCCAGTAGAATTTTTTAAAACACCGGTTCGAATCATTACGTAAAATAAAAACTCCTCGCAAATAACGGTAATGCATATTAATAATGAATTGCAGAATGGTTTATATATGTAAAATCATTTAGCAATATCGGAAAATCGACAATGTAATAAATCAGTTTAGAGTAAATATAAGATCAATCTATTAAAGAATTAAATAATCAATTTCGCATTTAGAATATATTCGCTCTTAATTTTGTAAACAATTCTATTATACATATATTTAATAAATATTAATAACAAATAAAAAATGGAACTGTGTTAATAATGAATAAAACATTTTAAAGAATTAGATAATCAACTTATTTAACCATGTCGCCTATTTTTATCATCGCCGAGGTCATTATTTTATTGTATTATGATGTATCTTTACATAACACGATGATCATTTTGCATTATCACTTCTTTTGGACTTTGTTTTCCTTTTTTCTCCGTCGTACAATGCACTCCGCCGACTTCATGGCTATTGATACTGCCGGTGTAGCCTCATAAATAATTAAATATTCCGTGCAGCAAGCCGCATAAATTACTCTTAGCACACGTTTAACGGATAATTAAGTCTCTCCGCGCGAATAAATTATCGCACGAATTCAAGCGATCGAGCATCGCCCAGAAACCTGGAAAATATTCGCCAAGATTAAAAGATCGTTCAACTTTCCCCCCTCGCGTTCCATTATCGTATATTACAAAGTTATATCTCCAATGCTCTATTCAAAAAAAGACTTTAATTAAATATTCACTTAATCATTGAACAGACAAAGATTGAGATAACTAAAAGAATAAAAAGCTATAGTGGTAAATTCTCGCAGTAAATTTTGCAACGGTCGATCATTCGTAAATGTTGAATAAATGTTGATAAACGATACAAATTGAATTTTCAGGGACGAGCGTTAAAAGCGCGAGTTAACGGGCAGCGGTTAATGTAGCGCGATCGCAAAGTGCGCAGTGCTTTCATACAGTCATTCGAGAGAGGAAACGAGCGCGTTTTACCCGCTGCTGCTGCAGCGAGCAATAAAACCGCCGGCTGTACGCCCGGGGTAAAACCAACGAAAAGGAACCGTGAATGGCCGCAATGCATTAGACATTCCCGCTACGTTTTCCAACGTCGTCACTTTGTCGACGAGTCGCTTCCACCGCGCGCGCCATCGGTATTTCCCGTGCGACGCCCGAAACTTTTGGAAATCGATCGGGACGCGATTCAATTACGTTAATTTAACGACGTTACGTTACGTCGTTTCTCTTCGTGAATATCGCGTCGCGCGAGGGATATGCGCGTCACGCTTGTGCCGATTATATGTATCTGCGCGATGTAATCAGCATTAAAACTTCACGGTCGCGATTAAAAAGATTTAATACGGTTGGTGAGCCCGTCGTAAACGTTAATTTGATCTCCATAAAACTCGGTTCCTCAAATCAATTCCGAATTTAATTTAATCTGAGATTAATTGGAGAAAAGTTTATTTAAAAAACTGATCTTGCTGATTTCGTCAGTTTTCTGCGACGCCCACATGAGATTGCATTTATTTGCATTCTTTAGGTTTCCGTCCGAAGCAAACGGTCGCTACATTTTCGCGTTCTTCGGGGGTGTTTTACGATCGCCTGGAAAATTATGCGATTGTCTGGACGTCGTCTAAATCGCGACGCGTGCAAATGCACGCGTTCGACCCGCCGCACCGGCGATGCTGCTGCCGTAATCGTAACGTTGCGCTTTACGGGCGCTTTATCGCATTCGTGCGTGACTCCGCGTCGATTCGCCGTGATTTAAAGTGGCTTTCGCGGAAGGATATTACCGGCGGATTTCAACGCCGTATTCTAGTCCTGGCGTATTACTCGTCCGTCCGCAGGATACGCAGGCCGCAATATCGGTTTAACAACGCCACGATTGAGTAGAAGAATGTTCTCGCGCTTGCGAAAGCGCCGTCGCGAGGAAACCTATAAAAGTACGGCAGCGATGCTCGTATTTGAAATTTTCACGGTCTGCCCACTCACTATAAAATGATATAGAAGTTTTACTTGTATTCACACACATATATATATATATATATATACTTGTATTCACATATATATATATAAAACCAATTTTCTTTGAAGATAAAAGTTTCATAAAACGGTACGTGTTTAAAATGTAGATATGTACTAGTGATTTATATTTTTTATTGATGTATTTTTGCGGTTTGATATTGACAATTTTTCATATTTGATATTTGCAGGCATTTTACATGTTTACATTTTTTTCCCGTATTCGTAATTTGATATTTGTAAGTATTTTTCATATTCATAGACTTGCCGGTTTTATTCGAGAAAAGATAATATACAGAAAATCGCGGAATAACATTTACACGATATACAAAAACATGAAACGAATAAAAACCATGATTAAAAAAAATAATTTAGCAAATTTTTGAAAGTATAAAATTCCATAGAACGTAGTGCACAAATAGCTTGATACACGCATGAAGTGCTTTGACAAAGTTGATTGTATAAACTTTTCATGAAAGAACAAGCTCCTTCAGATTCAGATAACTAACAAGCCGCCATCACCTTATCTGAGAAATGCCAGAGGAGCGAACGAGCCGCGGAAATACGAAGGCGATGCAGTCACGCTGCAGATTAAAGCGACGCCCGTCTGGCGTGCTATTTTAATGCGAGAGATGATCGATTAAGTATTCCACGTGCGGCGAAGTGCGTGGTTGTAATTGAACACACGTCTCGCGATTTTTCACGCGTCGCGAAACACGAGCATCACGCCCTGAAAATACCGTAACGAGAATTCCTATTTAAGTGGGGACGCTTGTTTTGTCGCATTTTGCATCGTGTTTCCTTCACCGATCTCTGCGACAGCAGTTCTCAAAGTACAAAATGTTATATACGTCTCAATCTTCTGAAACATTTGTCAAATATAAACGTCATCTCTATTCGTATATTTAAATTTTTTTTCGGCAAGTATATAATTTTATTTTACATTTTACTCCCCTTTAGAATTTTTTATATGATAATCTCTTATTGTGCGACAAATATGTAGAGAGTCAGATTTTATTACAAATTTTCGTTACAGAAAAAATATAGATATAGGTTTTTACAATTTTTTGTTAAATATACAGGGTGTCTCAGACTGACCATATCACCCGTTAATAACGACCTCCCGAGGTCTAAGCCTGCCAAATGATATAAAATTCTATGGCATAAAAATGAATAATATATACATTGATGTTAAAATATACATTTTATTCATTTTTATGCCTAATCTTATATCATTATGTTTTAATTAAAAAAAAAGTAAAGTGGCAAAAAAGAATCTGAACATCTCTGCTGTAAGATGTGTGAAATATTAAGACCGGACGCGTGTCTCGCTTGAGGGCACACGGTTCCCAGATGAATCATTAGCTGGAAAGGCAAAAATAATAATCCTACCTCCGCGATAAATCCGTTGCTTTATATACAACTCTCGATCTTTGCATCGCGCAAGAACAATATATCACCATATCGATTGTCCGCCCCCGGTTCTGCATCGAGCAAGAGCTTTTGCAGGAGCGCAGAAAAGAGAAAGAGAAAGAGAAACAGAGAGAGAGAGAAAGATCAGTCTCGCACGCACGATCTTTCAAGATCTTCCGGCGCAAGCCAGTCCCCGCCTGTTCCTCCATTTCTCTTATAATCGCGTTTCGCGCAGTTATACTCGTATGCGTGCGTGGGCGAGGGTTGAAGTATGAGAACAGAAACCGAGAGGGAGAATCGTGGCTACGATCGCGTGTGTAATGAGAGGGCAGCATTCGTAGAATCACACTACGAGATCGTATTAAATATAATATTCATAAATGTGTAGAATAAATCAAGTGAGAATTATAATGCAGAAGTGGATTTGTATTTATAAAAGTTTTAATTCAAATATAATATAATAAAATGTTTGTGAAAACCCACGAACGATAACAATCTGAAATTTTAACGGATAAATAGACTGTGAGAGAGAGATCAGCTTGTGCAAACTGAAATTAAGCTATTTTCCAGATAATTGGATAAATCTCGTTATCGAAATAATCGACCGTAAACAATTTCATAGCTCACGCGAAAGCTGAAGTATCAAAGTGAACGCTATCGATCAAGGGCGGCGGCGTAAAGCCGGACTGGCCATCCAAATCGGAAACAAATGGTCGAAATAAATTTTTACGACAAAGAGATATGTATCGTGTCTCGTTAACTGGCTCGCAATCGCTCTTCGTCGTACGATTAATGTCTCCGCGGAGCGAAATCCGCGTAGGAAGCCGCGCAGGAAACAGCTGAAAAATTCACGCACCGCGGGAGACGATCGTTTCCCGCCGCTTCCCGCGAAATCGAGGAGAAAGCGAACGAACGATAAAACCGTCATGCGAATATTCAGGACGACGGAAACGCGAAAGGAGCGACTCGCGAAATAGCTTCGGCTGCTGATCGATCGAGAGGGGATGTCAACGAGCCATCATCATTTCTACTCGACGGAGCGAGGAAAATGGAGCGTGGAAAAATGTTGGAAAATCGGGGAGAAATCGTCAGGCGAGCCGGACGACGATTCGAGTGGCACATCATTCAAAGCGACTTTACGTCTCACGATGGGAGAGCATCTCGGGTCGGGCACGTGTCCAGATCGGATCGAGTAACTTTTCTGCGGTGGGAAACAGGGAAGGGGGGGGGGTCGATAAACCCGAAAGAGAGCTTAGGAAACGTGCTTACCTTCGAGATTTGCCATGGAGAACCTGTAGCTGTCGATCCTCGGTGTGTTGATGTCCGAGTTAAAGGGCCTGAGGGTCGCTGAGCTTACATTGTCGAGACCCTGCAACACGAAAGATAGCAAACACGTTAAGTTAACCCTTGGCTGCAACTCTGGGGAGTTTGTCCCGCCGCTCGTGTGTGAAGCAAGAGCAAGGGCAATAACCTATCACAGTGAGCTTTCTAGGATTCGGCGAAGAATTGAACGAAAAGGTCTGAAAAGTCCTTTTCAGATTTGAAAAATCCACTAATACAACAATAAATACTAAATAATAATAAAATATATCTATACCTGTGATATACATAGATGTCGATAAGTAGTTAAAATATCAATGTTTATAAATAATTATAAGAAAATATAACAATAATGTTAATACTAAAATACATTTAAACGCGATTGATACACTAGTATCGAAAAGTATTCAATATACGAAACTTTTATGATTCTTTTCTTCGCTTTTTTGTGCGGAATCAATGAGATTTTGATTCTGATCTCCTCTGACAAAATATACGAGTTCCGTGCGCGACTTCAATGAAGCGAACATATGAATATATTCTTGGACGTCTGACAAGTTGTCAACCGAAAAACGCGATATCATATACCTCGTAGCGGAAAAACGTGTGAGTTCTATTCAAATTGAATTCACGTGAGAAGTAACCCCCCGGGCGCCTTCTCCTCAAGAGTTCAAGTCGATCCGTAATCCGTTCGGGATCCTTTTACGTTCTCAGACCCCGCCGCGGATGTGATTTGTACGAAGCCGTCGGATCCGTTCACCCAATTTCCGTCGAATAATTTCTGATAACGACGGAACAAGAGGAAATGGATTTTACGACGGCTGTATCTGGGATCATTGAATTCCGCAAAAGTCCTTTCAAGAATTTTATCCATATTCCTCGCTGCTTTCTATTATAATGTAAAAAATTGAATTCTCACCCGGGATTTATTTTCAATTTTGATAACGCTTCGGTCGTTGCTTTTACAAATGATAAAAATGTTTAATACGCCAAATTAGAATGTTAGGAATCAATTTGTTCGTAATTTTACAATTATATTATCCGATCGGTTCTTTAGATAATCTAGTATCCGTACTACTGTATATATCTAGATTAATAACGATTTATGCGTGACATCGACTCGCAATCCATTTTTCATTCATCTCGTACAGATAGTGTTTTCTATTATAAAAAAAAAATGTATTCGCTATGTTCCGGTTTTCACCGCGGGTTATCAGAAGATTAATCGAGAGACGCGATGCAATCTGCTTCGAAATTAGTCCCCGCCAATCGTGATAATTAATCTTGAGAAACCGGAGGTCCTTATTTGCAGTATAATTGATATGCTTGTAGTAATATGCTTGCATCGAATTTTCTGAGAAGCAACTAAAATTAACCCAGATTGTCTTAAATATCTCTCGTCAATTTTAAAATGCGCGCACTTAAGAAGATTTGTATTAAATCATTCATTCATATATTTCACACTTCGGTGAAAGAAAGTGTTTAGGAGTTCTTAATATAAAATTACGAGGCTGGCCGCAATCCTTTTACTTTTATTAAGAGCAATTTTTATTAAAGGCAGGATTTTTATTTTTAACAGTCACTTCCGCAAGATAAAAATAAGTAGCCTTTGTGTTATCGCCAAGTGGACGGCATAAGCTGATTAGCCGGCTCTGCCTTCCAATGTTTTGCACGATAAAATCGTGCCGGCGTTGAGCGGAGATGTTCGTCGTTTCTCAGCTTCTGAGGATCGCTTCGAACGGATAACGAGCCTTCTATAATCGCGCCTTTACACGGACTACCTGGTTGGCACGCATCGATAAACCCAGAGAGGTATACCGGATAATGGTGAACGACCTGCTGACCACTACTGGGTCACTGAAGTTTAATACGCGAACCAGGTGGCTCGATACAACGTGTAAATAGACCGTACAACCAACTTCATGTCAAACGGAAAGCTGCGTGCCGTATATTATTTAGAACGATTTATAAACAGCAGCGAGATGAAAGCGTAGGCGCGCAAACATGCATTGTTTAGCGTTGCGAAATTCTATTATTATTGCCGGAGAGTTGCTCGAGAGTCGATTCAGCTATAGGTCCGTATGTTTGGTCACTGCAAATATACCTCACGCACAGGATATTTACCTTAAAACGCGGATTTAGGGTTTAATTAATACATTGCAATTTGCGGTGCGAATTATCATTCGCGCAATTCAATTTCAATTGCAGTTTTGCACGGACATCTGACATAATTTGTAAAATGTCAGTTTTCCTCTCAACAGCGCGAAGAGTTCAAGATATCGAATTGTCAGAAACATTTTTCAGCATTTGTCGAGAAAAGTACGTCTATTTGGGCAAAATTTCTCGTCCAACTCGAAATTTCAAATGCAATTTATAAACGACTCGTGTTCGATTCTCTCTGTTAGTAAAAACACTGGTATCGACAATGAATTGGGCGTGGGTGTGGTGAACGACCCGCTAACCATTATTCGGCCAACCGGCGCAACAATTAGATCCGCACGGATAAGGCTGGCTCTTCCTGTAACGTGAAACCCGTGGACGTTACGCCCGCGTCTCGTTTCACGCATATTTACGTATATTACTGCCTCGCACTAACCCCAGAAATATCGAGTTCGGTATAAAAAGTATCCGGCGGTTTTTAGCCTTTGGCTTTATCTTAACGCTCATTAACCTTTGCTTCATCCTTTTTCTAAATCAGAGTGCTTCTTCCCAATTTTTGCAATAGCCTTTCCTTCAAAAGTTTTAATGAAAGAACATTGAAGAAAGAAATGTATTATTATATTTAATTTCATTATAATATTATCAAGATCAAAATACTCTTCTTTCTTTCTCTCTCCATTTTTTTTCCGTCTTTGAAACTTGAATTGTCCGATTTGCAGATGAAATAGCTTGTATAATCATATTATACGAGCCAGATTGCCGCAAAGAAATGCAGCTTAGTGTAATTAAATTTAAAAAAAGTTTCATCGATGAAAAAAAATCCTCACGAAGCATGTGAAAGAAGGCTATTTGAAAGATTAAGACATCTCTCAAGCGTCTTCGAGATATCTTCCACGCGCTAGTGTTATCCGCATTGGTATCCGCATTGCTATCGTTTTCTAAGCGCATGATCCTTTTATATATAGCGATATTATCTAGCAGAAATAGACAAGAGCCGAGCATCATTTAAACGTTCTGATCCTTCAGTCGGATCTCTTCGAAACTTTTATTGCCGCATACGGGTGATTTGCATAATCTAATGTAAATTCCGCGCGGGGCGCGTACTCACATCCTCCTGCGCCTTGTGGCTCTTCCATCGGAATAGCCTGTCCATTTCGCAGGTGGCGGAAACGCGATAGCGTTATTCCCTCAAGCACCGCGGAAGATCACTCAGTTTTCATCTTATGCGGCTTCATCGACGCCACGACGAAACTACAAACGTCGCACGTGGACGGCTTTATTGACACTCGACATAATCCTTCGTCTCTTCCGGACGGATCAAGACAACGCTCACGATGCAATCATCCTCTTTTAATACTTTACTGTCAGCGTGATTTAAAAGCAACAACGCTGCGATATTTAAATTGCCAAGAAGCTAAGGCAGAAAATAATACGCTGCAAAATTTGCTATCTATTTTGAAACGAAAAGCACAAGTTAATCCAATCAATTAGCTTTCAATTGATTGGATCAATTTATTGCAATTAATCTTTAATGAATTTAAATGTCAGATCTTTAATTTTACAACGACTCGATTTCGTCGATCTTTTGTAATAGGCTTCTTCCTTCGTAAATTCGATACGTAAATATATTTATTTATTATATGTTTACATTTGAAATAAATTTCAGCGAAATTTTTTCGATATTTTTTTGAACGCCGAAAAACTTTTCCAACGGTTAAAAACAATCCGAATCAATTTATGAGACTTATAAATGATAAAAAATCAATGTTGAGCTATGATTGCAGCTATATGTTGTCTGCGATGACTGTCTATAATCACTATTATTATTGTTATCGCTAATACAGGATTAAACAGATCGCAACGCACAAGTTATGGGAAATGGACGGCTGGAAACGCGCGGACGGACGCGATATCGCGGCTGTCGTCGTGGTGCGAGCACTGGATGCTGATCCGCGAGGGATTCAACGTGAAGGCCGGTCGGTCCACGTCCCGCTCGCCCTCTCGATTCCCTCCGCCGCCAGTGAGGACGGCGCCGAGGACCTCTCTTCGGCCTCTCTTTCTCTCACTGTATTTCTCTCGATTCCTGACGCGAGATGCGCCTGCGCGCCTATCGATTCCGTCGGAATCCCGCAGGAACACCGGACGCAGCGCCTCGCTTCCTCCTGCGTGTTTCGTCAGGACACTAGTGTCTTTGGCGAGCACTTCCGTCCAAGATTTTTTCTTAATCGAGTTCGAAAGAAACTCTTTAAAACTCCAAATTTGCGCGGGAGTACATTGCAAGGATCATTTCTCGAGATGCGAAACTTGTGATGAGAATAATCGTCCTTTCGGTTTCCCGAGCTTTCGTCATTAATATTAAAATGTAGAACGGTGTGCCACTGAATTATCTACGCCGTTAGAACAGTAACAATATTATCATTACTTTAAATATTCGCGTCATTTCAATATACATTTGTTTCATTTTCCATAGCTTTGTGAAAAGAATTTCGAATTGCATTTGATTATTGTTATTTCAAAGGAATATGTAGTTAATAAATTACGCAATTATTGACATTGAAGATGGATTTTGCAATCATAATTTTACATTTTCATTTTTTAAATGTTCAATATTGAACGTCAAACAATTTCCAAACTGCTCGGTAATAAGCCAACTTTTTCAGCGTTAAAACATTGACCCTTAAAACTGGTTGCACCCTTCTTTCCGCTTTTAACAAACGCTTCGTCTGTCACCCACGCTTGTATTCCGCCTACTACCATTTTATTGCGGCGCACTCGTCCTGTTTGCAACCCCGATTGCGTGCACTTTTACCCCTGCAGCAATCGCGTAACAAGAAGGTGGGAGCCCGAGTTAACCATCGACGACCTGGGTTTGAGAGAAATTACGGCACA